GAAGAAAAAAGTTAATGTTTTCTAATTGTTTTGACAACTTTAAATGGCATGGATCCGTGATGAATGACACCTTTCCTCATTTCTAAAGGCAGAAGCAGGGAAGAGAAAAACATGAAAAGAATGACTTCAGTCCAGACTGAAGTTGGTACTATTGACTGTGATGAGTACCTCACTTCCTCAGATGGTTTTTTTTTTTTTTTTTTTTTTTTTTTTTAGAAGTTTTTGCTATAGGGCGCATGCACTCGCTAGACAGAGAGATACAGAGAGAAATCACCCCCAGGGGGGATGGCCAGCGACACAGCCATTACGCTAACTGCTGGTCCTCCTCAGATGGTGTTTTAAAGCTCTACTCTTTGATTTCCCTCTTGAATGAGCGACTGATTTGCTGGTCCAGAAGCAGTTAAGAGACAGTCAAAGAGGAGTAGTTAACACTGCTCCCATTGTCAACCACATCCCCCAAGGAAGTATCTATCTTTGATGACAGACAGGAGATGAGATAAGCAATTCATGTCTCTTCTTGCTTTTCAGTCCACAGCACCACTGTGCATGGGCATCTTATAGAAAAGTCTTTATGTTTCTTTTCTTTTGTTTTTTAATTTGCCAGAGTGTGTATATGCTTGAGAGAGAGAAAGAAAGAGAGAGAGAGAATATGAGAAAACACCCTATCTAAGGCTAATGGTCTCTCCACAATTCCTTCTCCTCCTTTTCTCCCTCCTCTTGGGATTTTGGACACACATATATGTTTTTCAAGCCACCAGATCCGCCATGTAGAGTCCAGCTGCCTTACCCACCATGACACCAGCTGGCCCAAAATCCTATATGTTTTCATTGTTTGATTGATTTGGTTTATACAAGACAGTTTGAGGATAAGAGAGGAATGAGCTTTTCCTGTTGTTAAAAGGGACATATCTTCCCCTGGTCCTGATAACCAGTTCTATGGCTTAATTTTCAGGAAACCTACAGCTATAAAGAGAATGATATTCGATTGTTGAGAAAGTCATGATATATTTTTCTATGCAAAAATGTGTCATGACTTTCCAGACAGCACAATAACTAACAAATTCAAGACACTGCTTATCTTTAAAGAGAAAAGGAAAGAAATGGAAGTCAGGAGTAGTATACAAGCAATGTAATTTTAATACACATTTCTTTAAAAAAAAAAAGTTTAGTAGGCTAGCCAGTGATGTGGTGGTTGGGGTGGCTGAATCCCACTTGGCCAACTACAGTTTGAGTCCAGGACCCAGGGGCTTCAGGTACATGTGTACATGCACCAAGTGCATGCCCACAGTCCCGAGAGGAGAATGGAAAAGAGGGATTATGCTTTGGTCATCCCCCTGAGGGGGAGTGCTTTCTCACTTTCTCCCTCTCGTTCTCTGGCAAGTACATGTGTACCCTATAGCAAATTAACAAGAACAAAACAAAAACGTGAAGTGAATATAGCAAAATATAAAAACTTTGAGTAGTGAGAACATGAATGTTCATATATTATTCTCTATTTTTATTCTCTGAATATGTGAAATATCACACAAAACTCAAGATCACACAAATGAACAGAAGTAAAATATGTAAATGAAAAATAAGGAAGTGGAGGATAACATGTAAAGACCAGAGGACCAGATAAAAGGAAAGAAAGTAAATGGAAAAGTAACTAGGGAAGAAAAGATAAAAATACAACTTAGGCCCAGCCTGGTGGTTCAATCAGTAGGCAACAAACTGAACTGCAGTGCTGGAAGCCACATGGCCAACCACAGGCTCAGATCTCTGGGTCAGCTTGAAAACAAGGTGGATATACGCATGTGTGCACGTGCCTGAGATCCGGACAAGCTAGAGAACTGGGAAAGGGAAACACAACATGATGAACCCTTGTCAAGGGTGTTTATTTCTCTTTCTCTTAGGCACACACATGTGTTATCTTTTAAAAATGTGGTTTTGGACCAGCAGATGGCATAGTGGTTACATTGCTGAACTCCCACTTAGGTGATAGTGGTTTGAGTCCCAGACCCAGCAGCTTAAAACTCATGCTGGGAATATGTGTGTGTGTGTGCGCCCAAAATCCTGAGAGGAGAATGGAGGATAAGGGATTGAGGCATGCCATCCCCCCTAAGGGGTAATTTCTCACTTTCTGTCTTTCTTTGTCTCTCCCGAAAGTACACATGCCCTATATCAAAAATCCTTTTTTTTTTTAAAAAAAAAAAAGTGACTTGAGAAAGAACTGGAGGACCAGTAAATGGTTTAATGGTTACGTTGCTGGACTTCCACATAGTTGACCACAGTTCAAGTCCTGGACCTGGCAGCTTAAAACTCACCCCAGGTGTAAGTGGGTGCATGCTCAAAATTCCAAGAGAATGAAAGAATATGGATTGCAGTGTGGTCACCCCTTCTGGGGGGTGATTTCTTGCTTTCTGTCTCTCTGTATCTCTGGTAAACACACATGTCCCATAGGGAAAAAAACCACTCTTAGCAAAAAAAAAAAAAAAAAGAAAAAAGAGAGAGAGAGAGAAAGAATTGGTGTGATGCCACCATTTATTTTGCCTTTGGTCTCTCTGTCTTTTGCAGAGCTTCCAACGGCACCATGGAGATGGATCATCAGGAGGTTCACACCTCTGTGATTCACAGGAGTCACTATAAGGAGGATCCAGGGAAGAATGCTCCGTTTTCAGCAGAAAACAAGTGGTGGTTACTAATTATGATGACTTTATACTACTTTGGATTTGGATTGGCTACACATTTCTTTATAGTAAGATACCAATTGCTTCAGAAATAGAGGATATTTAAATTCACCCATGTGGGAACCAGCAGTTAGTGTAATGGCTATGTCGCTGGGCTCCCACGTAGTCGACCACGGTTCGTGTCCCGGACCCAGTGGCTTAAAACTCACGCCGGGTGCGTGTGCGTGCGTGCCCAAGATCCCAAGAGGAGAATGGAGGAGAAGGGACTGCGGCATGACCATCCCCCCTGAGGGGTGATTTCTCGCTTTCTGTCTCTATGTCTCTCTCTGTCTGTCTGGTGAGCGCACGCGCCCTATAGCGAAAAACCTCTCCAAAAAAAAAAAAAAATCAAATTCACCCATGAAACAAATATGAAAAGGGTTTTAAGAGATGCAACTTCTTTGGAAAATGGATGAAATCTTGAACTCATATAGAATACCAGATAAATTTTTAATAAACTTAAACATAAAAATACAGTTACTTTTAAAATTACAGATAGAAGAATTCTTAACATGTAATATATAGACTATGGATAGACAAAGAGTGATCCGAAAAGCAGGATAGAAACAGTAAATGATGAAATAGATTCCTAGTGAGATAAGATGACATGCAGAACAATTATCCTTGAATAGGGAAAAGATAGTTTTTCCTCTGAGACTTTAGTGAAAGAAATAAGATTTCAGACATAGATTAGTTAGGTTTTATAGGTATACGGATTAGAAATCAAGTAAATTACACTGGTAGTTTTAATTTTTTCTGTGAGGTGTGAGACATGGTCATCTGCTGACCAGAAGGCAGGAATAGAAAATGGAAGTAGATTCAAAAATAAATGTTTATGTGGGTCACTTTAGCTCTACTTTGTAAAATAGAAAGTGTGACTGTATATGAAACTGCTAGCATGAGGTAAAGTTAAGCTTTCTTTGAATTCACTCAGGGCAAAAGAAAACTTAAATGTATCCTTACAGAAAAACTAGGACAGTTGATGATTAACTTGTGATCCAAAACTTTGTTCAAATTCAGAAATGGATTTGGGAACTGAGAAGACATATTTAATAACTTTATCTAAATGTATAAAACTTCCCAAAGAAATTTGTCTTGCAAATATATACAAAACATATACAACACAAAATATAACTTGAATTATCTTGTTTATTAACCATCCTTTAGAAACTGAGGGCAACAGTGAATTTTTCTTTTAAGAGATTTTTGCTATAGGACGCGTGCATTTGCTGGAGAGACAGAGAGAAACAGAGAGACAGAAAATGAGAAGTCACTCCCCTGTGGGGGGATGGCCATATTGTAATCCCTTCTCCTCCATTCTCCTCTCGGGATTTTGGGCATGCACACACATGAGACTGGTGTGAGTCTTAAGCCACCAGGTCCAGGACTTGAACCATGGTCAACTAAGTGGGAGTCCAGCGATGTAACGATTATGCCATCCGCTGGTCCCAACACTGAATTTTAACTTCACATGCAAAATGCCTAAGAAATTCATCCCTCTGACTATTCATCACTCCTGTCTGTTAAACTTAAATGTCTCATACCATAGATATTATTATAGTGGAACTGAATTTTTTCTGAGGCAAATCTACATAACAGCAGTTTGTGTTAATTTCTTGACAGTCATTAAAGTTTATGCTATCCTCAAGTCACTTATTCTCCCTTTACTACTTGACATTATAAATCAGAAATGTCACGAAGAGGCAGACCTGGTAGTGAGATAGCTAAGGGAGCCAAATCCCACATGGCTGATAGAGGTTCAGGTCCTGGCCCCAGTAACTTGAGAAACACACCAGGAGTGTGCATGTGTGGGTGCACATGCACCCTAAGTCCAGACGGGATGGAGAAATGAAGGAAGAGGGATTGCAACACGACTATGCCCCAATGTAGGGTGCTTTCTCTACCTCTGTCAAGTGTACATACCCTTGGCAATAGGAAGGAAAGGAAATAAGGAAGAAAGGAGAAAAGGAAGGAGTCAAGACCATAAAGACTCAACACATATGATAACATTCAGCACCAGGAATAGCAAAAGCAAAAATCACCTTAGGCAGTTGAAGTGAAAAAACTAACAGAAAGCATGCTAATCCTGGTTATCAACCCTAGATCCTCAACTACCTCCTTAAACTTCATATTCCAACAGTACCTTTGGCCTAAAACATGATGGAAAATAGAGAAGAGGTGAAAAACCTGGCAGTAAATATAGATCATCTGAAATGAGTGATAAGACAGATTGAATTGCATTATTCCACTTTAGTATACAGTCCTGAATAAGTCACAAGATTGCATTCATACCTTTCTGTCTCTGAATCCAGAACGTTTCTTCTTTTTCTCTTCTGGATAAGGCTCAAGATTCGTATCTCCAGCCTTTTTTTCATGGTTACAAACTTCTCCTTCATCTTTGTTCTTCCCTTTGTTTCCAATTTCAGTCTTTAGGTTGTTTGCACATGGTGGAGATTCTGCATGAGCCCTGGATATGCAAAAAAGAAATCTGGATTAACATGAAGGTCCATCATATTAACCAAATAAGTATTCACAGATATGGCTTAGCAGGTATAACGATAAAACTTGCCAAAAATTCTACACGAAGCTCTTCAAAAAATTAAAACTAGACCTATCATATAATCTATTAATCCCACTTCTGGTTATATAGACAAAAGAAATGAAAGGCAGGATCTCAAAAAAAAAATTTTACACATCCACATTCATAACAACACTATTCATAATAGTGAAAATATGGAAGTATTCCAAATGTCCATTGGTAAATGAAATGAATAAACAAAATGTGGTAATGTATGTAATAAAATATTATCCAGCCTTAAGGAGGAAGAAAATCTTGTCATATGCTACAATATGAATAAATGTTGAGGACACTGTGCTAAGTGAAATAAGCCAGTCACCAAAAATAAATAAATAAATAAATAAATACTATATGGTTTCACTTCTGTGATTTGCCTTCGGTGAACTGTAGCAAAATTAAGAGAAAGTCAAACACAGGTTAACCAGTTAATCAGGGCCTGTGGGAAGGGAAGGGAAAACAAGAAAGAGACTTTTTTTAAAAATTTATTTATTTCTTCCATGAGTGAGAGAGACAGAGAGACAGTACCTCCACCAATGTCTTGACACTACCATCCATTCGCAGACTTAGCAAACCACAGATCATGAGCATGTGTGTGCTTGGCATACTTTGAAAGGTCTTTGGACATGAACCCTTCCATGTGGGCCAGCCTTAAAGAACATCACATGTTACTGCTGTGCCACCATTTGATCCTTAGGACTTTTTTTTTAATTTATTCTTTAATTTATGTATTTTAAAAATTTTTTTCCAGGGGTACATGTGCTTGATGGAGACACACACACACACACAGAGAGAGAGAAAGAGACAGGGAAAGTAAGAAAGCATCCTCCATGAGGCATGGTCACATTGCAATCACTGCTGTCTCTCCCTCCTTTCAGGATTTTGGGCACACAGTATATGTGCCTGGTGTCTCAAGTCTCTATGCACCTTAATCACCACACCATAGGCTGACCCAGAAATTTCTTTTTTCTTTTCTTTTTTTTTTCTTTTTTTTTTTTTTTTAAGGTTTTTGCTGTGCACTCACTGGAGAGAGAGACAGAGAAAAAGAGAAAGTGAGAAATCACTCCCTTAGGGGGTATGGCCACACCACAATCCCTTCTTCTCTTGGGATTTTGAGAACGTGTGCACAAGGTGCCTGGTGTGATTTTTCGAGTACCAAGTCCAGGACTTGAACTGGAGTCATCCATGTGGGAGGGAGTCCAGTGCCTTAATCACCATGCCACCTGTTGGCCCCTAGAAGTTTCTTTTTAGTGAGTATAAATCTTTGGTTTTTGCGAGATTAAAAAAAAATTATGGAGATCTGTTTCACAACAGTATGAATATACTTAAGTTACTGAACTGTATACTTGAAAATGGTTAAGATGGTAAACTTTAAGTTACATGTCTTTTGCCACAATTAAAAATACACAAGTAGAGAAGAAATGGAGGTTCAAAAGAGAAAAAAATAAGTATTCAAGTAAAAACTTACACTTGCAAAAAAAAAAAAAAAAAAGTTTGTGAAGATAACTGACCTGCTAGACTTTCTAAGTTAACTATCAACGGCAAGCAAAAATTGAATGTTCAGTTGAAGACCCTCTGGTTAATTACAGATTAAAACTGCCAATCTATTCCATGAAGACTTTTCCCAACATCTTTTAGCCAAGTTAATATCTCTATTCCTTTAAATTCCTACACTGTATAGTGTTTATACTACAATATATAACTTACTGTTTCGAATGGGTTACTTATCTTTTCCTAAAACCTATCTTGCTCTTCAACTACTAATAGAATCAATGACACTGATGTTTTTACAAATAAAAAATTGGCAAATATTAGCAACATCCTACAATTCAATCTAATAGATAAGGTCATTAACAAGAGACTAGCTACTGTCTTTTTTTTTTTTTTTCCTTTTAGGTCTCCAAAGTGTCTAACATAGTACTTCACACAAAGAAAGCGCGTGGTGTGTCTGTGACTGATTAAGGAACACTAAAAGAAGTCTTTGGCTATGTGGACCAGAAAGGGAGTGAAAAAAAGTGCATTGGAGCTAAGTACACTGGTACAGCAATGTGAGAAAAAAAAATTTTTTTTAATTTGCCAGGTGTGTGTGCTTGCCAGAGAGAGAGAGAGAGAGAGAGACAAAGAGACAGAGACAGAGAAAGAGAAAAAGGGAGAAAGCATCCTTCACTGGAGCATGGTCACATCCTGTTTCCTCCATTTCTCTACCCTAAAGAATTTAGGGCACACATTCACACAACCATTGTGTTTTTCAAGCTCCCTGGTCCAGAATGTGAAATGCTTGGTTGGCTATGAGGGATCTGGCTCCCTTAACTACCAGGTGCAGGGCTAGTGGTTGTTTTTTGTTTGTTTGTACTTTTACATTTACTTACTCAGTAAAGTAGACAGCAGATTCAAGTGAGCTTTTCTTTATTTTTTAATTTATTATAATTACCTTTTTTTTTCCTTTTTTCTTTTTTTGGAGAGGTTTTCGCTATAGGGCGCGTGCACTTGCCAGCCAGACAGAGAGAGACATAGAGACAGAAAGCGAGAAATCACCCTCCAGGGGGGATGGTCACACCGCAATCCCTTCTCCTCCATTCTCCTCACGGGATCTTGGGCATGCACGCACACGCGCCCGGCGTGAGTTCTAAGCCACCGGGTCCGGGACGTGAACTGCGGTCGACTACATGGGAGTCCAGCGACATAGCCATTATGCTAACTGCTGGTTCCCTATTATCATTACTTTTTAAAATTTGACCAGAGAGAGATACAGAGAAAGCAGGGCTGTTGGTTGTTTTAGCATGTGTGTGTGTGTGTGTGTGTGTGTGTGTGTGTGTACCCAAGATCCCAAGAGGAGAATGGAGAAAAGATTGTGGCGTAGCCATCCCCCCTTGGGGGTGACTTCTCGCTGCCTCTCTGTCTCTATCTCTGGTGAGCACAGGAACTCTATAGCAAAAATCTCTCTCTAAATTTCTAATCGTGCAGGGCTGGTGTTTTTTTGTTTTGTTTTGTTTTTGTTTTTGTTTTTGTTTTTTACATTTACTTACTCAGTAAAGTCAGCAGCAGATTCTGTTATAGTCTAATCAGTGAGAAATAAGAGGACATTCGGGCATAGCCAAATTTATAGGAGTTTTATTGATTAATAGACTGGCGACTACAGGAGGACTCATAAAAACCCTGCAGCCCAGAGTGCAGGGAGAAGGGGGCTTATAAAGGCAAAAATCACATTTGGGTTGGCATGGCAGGAGTAGTAATCATTGAGGAGGGGGAGGTGACAAGAGGAAGGAGTGGAGATTCGTTTGGTAACCCAGTTACAGAAGCCAGTTCAAACAGGTTAATAATCTCTAGACCTTGCTTAAACACAATGGAATCTTAATGACCTGTATGGCTAGGGCAAGGGGTATGGCATTGATTATTATACCACTAAGAGACATCTTAAGATAGGGAGTTTTTGGGATATTTATCAAAAAGACAGTAGGGATGTTAATCACTCTGTTTAGGCAAAAAGAGAATGCTAGTTTCCAATATAGAGAGGAGTTCAAAATGGAGGTGCTACTGCTTCACTGCTTCAATTCAAGTGAGCTTTCTTTTTTTAATTTATTATCATTACTTTTTAAAATTTGACCAGAGAGAGACACAGAGAAAGCAAGAGAGAGAGGGGAAGAAATAAAGTGAGAATACAAGCCACCAGGTCTAGAACTCATACTTCAGTCAGCCATGTGGGAATCCAATGCCTCAACCACCATGCCATCTGCTCCAAAAATTCTAACCAGCCTAAAAATTCTAAAAATATTTGTTTCACATGATTATTCAAAGAAGATTTAAATAATTTGAATTTGTAAACAAAAATAATAATTGGTTTTTAAAACATTAAAGCCTAATAAAAAGCAAGTTCATGTCAGGATCATGTCACTGCTTTACATATCTCTGAAGAGCTTCCTGTAATTAAAGAGTGATGGGCTGCTATACAGACCCAAGCTACTTTTTCAGAGACAAGAGACAGCATTCATACAATCCATCCTTCAAATGCTATGCTAACCACTGAAGTTAAAATATGAGTAAGATTGTCCCTGTCTTAAGGAAGTTCATAATCTATCAAAGTCAGACTACAGCAACCTCATTGAACAGCAAGGCTATTCAAGGTATTCAAACACCCCAGAAGGGTTATGATGTATTCTTAGATCTAAGAATACATCATAAAAGAGTACTCTTAAATCATGCTTAAAAAAGGAAAGGACGGAAGGAAGAAAGGAAGGAAGGAAAAAAAGAAAAGAAAAAGAAAAGAGCTTAGAAAGTAGCTTTGGAAAGTCATATAGGTTCTCCAGTAAATTAACAGTCTAACCTAAGAAAATTCAACACTTGTAAAGAAAAATCACAAATTCAAACATTCAACAAAGTAACAAACACTATGTAAAATATCTAGCAAAACATTAGACAGATGGGGGTCAGTGGGTGGTATGTTGGTTAAGGTGCTGGATTCCCACATGACAGACATTTCAGGTCCTGGACCCAGTGGCTTGAAAATAACACCAGACACATGTGAGTGTGTGTCAAAAAATCCCCAGAGGAGAAGGGAATGCGATGTGGCCATCCCCCGGGCGAGTGATTTCTCACCTTCACTCTGTCTCTCTCTCTGCGAGCCTACTTGCACTTAAGAGAGTTTGCCTGAATTTATATAGACAGAGTTTGGACCTACATATTCAGACTCCAAATCCTGAATCCTTCCTGCTATATCTAAGTATCCTTTTTGAGATTGAGGAAGTAAAAACAGAGCAAAAATGTGAAAAAATGCTGCTTTATTAACAGCACTCTAATATGAGTTCCAAGGACCATATTTATGTCAATTCATGTCAGAGATTTAAAAATTAGCCATTTGTTGGAGCCAGCAGGTGATGCGGTGGTTAAGGCACTGAACTTCCACATGGCCAACTGCAGTTTAAGTCCCAGATCTGAAGGGCTTGCTTTCTCATTTTTCCACTCTCTGGTCAAATTAAAAAATAATATTAGGGGCCAGCATCATGTAATGGCTATGTCTTTGGACTCCCATGTAGTCAACTGCACTTCGAGTCCCAGACCTGGTGGCTTAAACTCACTCTCTCTCACTCTGTCCCTCTCTGGTCAAATGAAAATAAATAAATAAAGATAAATAATTAGTCTTTTAAATGGGATTAAAAATGGAAAAGAGATTTTTTTAAAAAGAATTATTTTATTGGGAACCAGCAGTTAGCATAATGGCTATGTTGCTGGATTCCCACGTAGTTGACCGCGGTTCGCATCCCGGACCCCGTGGCTTAGAACTCACACCAGGCACATGTGCGTGCGTGCCGAAGATCCTGAGAGGAGAATGGAGGAGAAGGGATTGCGGCATGACCATCCCCCGTGAGGGGTGATTTCTCGCTTTCTGCCTCTATGTCTCTCTCTGTCTGTCTGGCGAGTGCACGCGCCCTATAGCGAAAACCGCCCCCTAAAGGAAAAACCCCCAAAAAAAAAAAAAAAAAAAAAGAATTATTTTATTTAACTTTATTTATTTATTTATTTTAATTTGACCAAAGAAGGGCAGAGTGAGAGAGAGAGAAAAAAGTGAAAAAGCAAGCCACCAGGTCCAGGACTGAGGGAGTCCAGCAACCTTCACTACCACACCACCTGCCAACCCTGGAAAAGAAATTTTTATCCTTTACATTAATGTTAGACATTTTCAGATAAAAATATTGCTTTTTTAAAAATGTTATCATTCTATTTCTTTCTTGTGAGAGAATGAGAGTGATAGAGTGAGAATATTTAAGTGTGAGACAGAGTGAAAGAGAGAGGGGTGCACCCCTAGAGGGTCTCACTATGTCGTAATCTCTCTCAGCAAAACCTAGTCAGTCAGAATCATGGGCATGCACATATACCCACTATTCCCAGATCAACCCAGGGTCCTGGTCCTCTATATGGCTTCCAGCACTGCAGAGTAGCACTCCACCATCTACACCAAGGCCAAGATCCATATTGTGTTTTTGTAATTAAGCTATAAAATTTAAAGTTAAAAATTATATAGTACACTTTAAAAAAAAAAAACTTTCAGTCTCACTTATTAGGAACAAAGTTATTCCTGCCCATTTAACGATGGTACAAACCCAGTGGAAAACTGGCAGTTCTGAATAAAGTTCAACATCTATTTACCAAATGACCTAGCAACTCCACTCCTAGGTATTTAACAAAAAGAAATGAAGACATATATAGATTTAAAAGCAGTTTTATTAATGAAAGCAAAAAACTGCAAACAACTCAAATAGCCTTCAACTGGTAAGTGAATCAACAAATTGTCACATATTCATATAAAAGAATACTATCTGATTATAAAAAGAACACAAACTTATGATACACATGGAATACTATAAAAAATATTATGCTGAGTAAAAGATGGGTAAAAAAGTACATTACGATTCCATTTACATTAAATTCTGAAAGGTCAAAACTAATCTATAGTGATAAAAATCAATGGTTACTTGGAATGGTGGGCAGTATGAGACTGGCTAGGAAGAGGCATTACAGGAAACAGGCAAAACTTGAAGCACAATGTTTCCTATTCATTGTCTTGGCATAACTGCTGAATTATTTTAAAGATCTCAATTCATAAACAAATATTATCAATGCCAAATTATTTGAGCAAGAAATTCAGATACAAAGTTAAGACAGAAATCAACTCCTTTCTGAAAACAGAGACAACTGGAAGAATAAAAGCATGCGTAGGAACAAGATGATCAGATAACACTCACCTCTTCCATAAGAGACCAGTACTTGCAGTTACTGCAGATGCTCCCAGAAAAGCAACCACCATTAGTCTTCGCCTTGTCTGGATTGGCTGTGATCCTCCATGGTACCATCGAGAGCCCACAGCCAGTTCTGCCAAGGCAGAAAGTGAATTAAGACGAAACATCCTGTGGACAAAAAGTAGAAATGTCACTCCTAGCTAGTGATAGTGACGATACTGATGATTGTGGTGGTGGTGGTATTGCTGATGACAATAATTAGCATCAACAGAGCTAACAGGTGGCATAGTGGTTAAGGCACTGGACTCCCACATGGCCAACTGGTTTGAATCCTGGACCTGGCAGCTCGAAAGTCATGCCAAGCATATGTGCATGCATGCCCAAAATCCCAGGAGAAAGGAGGAGAAGAGATTGCTGTATGGCCATCCCCCCCAGGGAGTGATTTCTCACTTTCCCTCTCATTGTCTTTCTGATCAGCACACATGCCCTATGGCAAAAAAATCCCTTTAAAAAAAAAAAAAGAATTAGGAGGAATAGCAAATGGCATAATGGTTACATTGCTGGACTCCCATATGGCCGACCATGGCTTGAGTCCCAGACCCAGTGGCTTGAAAATCACATCAGATGCATGTACACTAGTGTCCAAAATCCCAAGAGGAGAATGGAGGAGAAGGGATTATAGCATGGATATACCCCCTGGGGAATGATTCCTCAATTTCTGTCTCTCTCTCTCTCCGTGGGGAGCACACACACCCTATAGAAAAAATCTCTAGTAAAAAAAGGGCCAGCAGGTGGCATAGTGGTTAAGGGCACTGGACTCCCACATAGCCAACTGTGGTTCAAGTCCCAGACCTGGCAACTTTCTTTCTTTCTCTCTCTCTCACTCATTCTGTCCCTGTCTGATCAAATTAAAATAAATAAATGCTAAAATAAATTAAATAAAATAATTCCTTTTTTTAAAAAAAAGGATTGTATCAAGATCACCAACAAGCACTAAGTACTGAGTCTATGGCAGCCACTACTTTAAACACATTGCATGGATTATCCCATTTAATCCTCAGAATAATTTGTGAGAAAACTACTACTTACAAACCAATATATTTAAGTACATTTACAAGACAGAAACCACATAATAATTTGAACAGAGAAAAATCTAATATAAAACATTAATTACAACAGGAGAGAGAGAGAGGGAAAGTGAGAAAGCAAGCTGCCAGGTTCAGGACTTGAACCATGGTCAGACATGTGGGAGCTCAGTGTCTTAACCACCATGCCACCCACTGGTCCCAGTACTATGCTATTTTTATTATTGTTGCAATATATATATATATATTTTTTTTTTTGAGAGGTTTTTGCTATAGGGCCCGTGCGCTTGCCAGAAAGACAGAGACAGGGGAACAGAAAGCGAGAAATCACCCCCCAGGGGGATGGCCACGCCGCAATCCCTTCTCCTCCATTCTCCTCTTGGGATCTTGGGCACGCACACACACGTGCCCGGAGTGAGTTTAAGCCGCCCGGTCCAGGACTTGAACCGCGGTCGACTACGTGGGAGTCCAGCAACATGGCCATTACACTAACTGCTGGTCCCTCATTGCAAAATATTTTGAAGTCAGGTAGTGAGATGCTTCTTATTTTTTGTTTTGCACAGTATTGCCTTGGTGATATGAGGTCTTTTATGATTCCAGACAAATTTTATAATTTTTTTTTCTGTTTCCATTAAGAATGTCACAGGCAGTTGGATTAGAATCACATTGAATATGTAAATTAATTTGCATAGAACTGATACTTTGATCATACTTACTCTTTTAATCCAAGAACATGGGATGTATTTCCATTTTTTTGTATCATACACAATTTCTCTTTTCAGTTTTTCATAGTTTTCCTTGTAGAGGTCTTTCACTCTGATTAGATTTATTCCTAGGTATCTTATTTGTCCTGTGGCTATTGTAAATGGGGTTGCTTTCTTCAATTCTATCTAGTCTGTTCATTTTTGGTGCATAAAAATGCACATGGAACTTTTTAAAACAGTGCATCTCTAAAATGATATCTTGAAAAACTGTAATATAGTACAAATGATAGAAAATTAAAATACTAGGTTGAGGTTGGGTTAGTCAGTAAAAGCTTTTGTTTAGCCTGAAGCCTTCAGAATGGTGTAAAATTTTGATCAGGTGATAGAAAAGTCAGGTGTATCCCAGAGCCTTAAGATCATTTCAGGGACCTTCTTCCATAGAATTAATGAGAAATGGTTTTTATCCTCTAGACAATCACCTTGAGGCCACAATATAGCTCCTCATTCTTTTATTCCACCTGGCAGGTTGAAAAAAAAGAACGCACATTTCTTTCTGGTTCCATGACCTTTTTGTAGCTATAATTCATTCAAATCAATACCCCCTCCCCTACAACCCTTGACTGTTCTCTAAGAAGTCCTCTGCTTTCTCATTTAAATTACCTTATACTTTGGATATATCTTCCTATGGCAAATAACATATTTGCTTATATACAGCTTGCTTCCTCCACTTGGTTTTGAACTTTTTATAAGACCAAAATTAAACTGTTCCTCTTTGTAAACACATAGTCTAATACAAGCTTCGTTTCATCGTAAAGTACTTAATATATTTAACAACATATTTTACTTTCACATGAAAAATGTCTACTTTCACATGAAAAATGTCTGGGTACAATCTACTACATATGGATATCGGTTCCTAACATTTAAGTATACTTCTCAGCCTCTAATTTACTGAGAAAGTGATGTCTTTTATTGTCTGGGTCGAAGTCAGATTAAAGTCTTAGCTGTCCCCTACTATCACTGAGCTAGTTATTGACTCTTCCCTGGGACCTATAATTCTTAAGTAAACATTGCTCCTAGAACCCTTCATCCAACCTAGGTCCAGTTTCAAAGCTAGAATTAAATCCTGCCCTCACAGACAAAATAACATTAATTTTTCTTCCATTTTCTATGATCGAAGCTTTAGTAGTAGTACATTTCTTACATCCCTCCCTAATTCCAGAAATCATCTTTTTACTGTATATACTTGAGCGAAATCCAGCATTACGGAGACTGTCCATTATTTATTATTTTATATGGGTTTTTTTTTTGGGGGGGGGAGGTTTTTGCTATAGGGAGTGTACGCTCACCAGAAAGATAGAAACAGAGACAGAAAGTGAGAAATCACCGACCAGGGAGATGGCCACGTTACATTCCCTTCTTCTCCATTCTCCTCTTGGGATCTCGACAAGCACGCACACATGCCCGGTGTGAGTTTAAGCCACCAGGTCTGGGAGTCAAACCGCAGTCCACTACATGGAAGTCCACTGACATAGCCATTACACTAACTGCTGGTCCCAAAATCCAGCATTAGGGAGACTGTCCATTATATTTTTCTTCTGTCTGAAAACTTCTGATTTTTTTGGCTTATTTTAAAATTAATATTTCCCAAATCAAATATTTATAAACATTTTATAAATATTGCTTTTGGCTACAGCAAAAATGAATACAACTAAAACATACATATCAGGAAAAATATTACTCATCACTGATAATAGAAAGAAAAGGGCACTTGGAAGTATTCAATGTGAAAAACAGATAACCAGTTCAAAAGTTGGAATAGACAAAGAACATGGAAGGGTGGAAATTTACATCTATATCCTTGATTGAGCCAACATACAATGTATACTGGATGGAAAATCTCATTTTGTAAAAAATGTGTATACTGTATTGATGTACAGTGAATGACTGTAAATAAATAGATAAATTAATTAAAAAGAAAAGAAAGAAATTTACAACATCTGATTAGATCTGGAGAATTAGCTAGACATAACGATCACTAGGTAAGTCACAATCCTTTGAAAAGAGACTTTGAATCCCAGACAGAAGTTTAATCACATACAATTGAGCAGGAAGCCACAAAATTTCTTAGATAAGAAAAAATAAACATGGTGAAAACATTGTTTAAACAATATCAATCTTGGGCCCTCAGGTGGTGTGGTGGTTGAGGTGCTGGACTCCCATGTGGCCGACCACAGTTTGAGTACAGAACCTAGAGGCTTGCTTTCTCATTTTCCCTATTACTCTCTCTGTGTCACTCTCTGGTGAGCGAATGTGCCCTATAGCAAAACTTAAAATAATAATAATCAATAAAATAATAATTAAAAAAGAACAAAGTCAGAAAGAACTAACAGGAAAGTACTGAGTACAGCCAGAAGGCACCTAATAACCTAGATACTGGGTGATGAATGCCTCCATTAGGATAAGTATAGAAACCAAAAATAGAACCAAACTAAACATTTCCAAAGAGAAACAAAATGATCAGATATCAGTATATAACATACCAATACCTAACTGCGTAGGCGATATGGAAGATGAAAAGGGGAAAGAGATTAAAATAATAATGGCATCACTAAGCACAATGGTAGAAAATAAAATGGACTAGGATTCCCATGACCCAAGAGCTTGTCTCAACTCTACTGCTAAACAACTGTGTGCACAAAGGATGCTCAATCTCTCTTGGGGAAAAATTCACACACTGGTAAAATGAAAGAATTGCCTAGATGAGCTTAGGGTTCCTTTGATCTCTCTAAAGCTCTCATATTGCTGACAAAAAAAAAAACAAAAAAACACTACAGCAAAACTTAATCTATTTCACTTGGGAGAAGGGGCTAAGAACGTACCATATATTCAAAAATTATTCGTTTGGGGGTATATATTTCTAAATGCTATGGCTCTAGGAGATTTCAAACTTTCGGAAGTTCTTAATTTTACTAACATTCCACTTAAATTATGATGTTGTAATGCAAATGTTAGTATCTCCATCTCATTTCACTATGATTTTAATCTTTAAAGTATGCATCAAAAGATATATCTAGGGCTGGCCACAAAGTGCAGGGATTAAGTACAGTATATTGGTGGGCCAGCAGGTGGCGTGGTAGATAAAGGCACTGGATTTCCACATTGCTGACCACGGTTTGAGTCCTGGAGCTGATGGCTTGCTTTCTCTTTCTCTCTCTCTGTCTCTCTCTAGTCAAATAATAATCTAACAATAATAATAATAACAAATGGAATTAAATAAATAATTCTTTTTAAAAAAATAAAGGTACAGTATATTGGGAACCAGATCCCACATCTCGGTGCTGGCAGCTTGATAAACACACTAGGCACAAGTGTGTAT